TGATCAGGGCCAGATCGAAGCTAAATTCCCAAGTGCTCCGCAACAGAGCACAGCATTCACGGGCCGACAAGAGGCTGTTGTTGATCCAGTGCCAGCCAAGGTAGTTGGGCAAGTGCCTCTTGAGCACAATGGATTTGGGACTGGCCACATTGAGCAGCAAGCGATGCCGCTCACACAGCCTATGCATGGTTTGTGCCAGCCAGCGCAATCTTTCCCAGTCCACCAAGGTGGCCAAGCCCTCCTTTCGACGCAGGTGCAAGCACCGCCCTCCTTCGGGCAAGCGAATCCGATGTCATTTGCGAGTCACACAGGCAGTCAAGCAGGTCAACAGCCCTTCGGTGGTGTCCCCGCACCACCGCCGAGCCAATTTCGTGAGCCACAAGCCCTGGCCTTTGAGCCAGCGGTTTTCGGAGGATCTCAGGTGCAGGCACAGCCACAGCGCACTGAGAGCGGGTTGGCCCATGGGTTCGGTCAGTTTCCAGCTCAGTCACAATACGGGACGATCCCTGAAGGAAACCAGCATTTATTTGCGCAAGGTCAACAGCCTCCGCAGCCCTTCGGGGTCCCCTCATTCTCTCCCGTGGCACAGATGGATCAATCCCACTTTCAGTTCCCGATGAACAGCCCAGATTCTCGGAATTGCAGCTGCGGGCAGCCGGCCCTCCTCCTGAATGTCAAGAAGGAGGGACCCAATCAAGGCAGGGTGCTGGAAAACGATGAGAAACGGCTTGCAAGATTTGCAAGGATCTTTGATCTTTTTCATCGAATTAACAGCAATTCGCGTGTTTTGTGATGTTTTGTGTTGTTTGATGAAGGCCGCGGCTTTTGGAAATGTGCCAAGCAGAACCCGGAGCAGCCCTGTGGTTTCTTCGAGTGGGCAGATGAACCACCTCGTTCTTCTGGCAACGGCGCCAATGGCCATGGCGCCAATGGCCACAGTCAAGCTCAGGGCATGATGCCTCAGTTGCCCCCAGGGCCTGCATGCACTTGTGGACAGCCTAGCTTGGGCCTTACCGTGAAGAAGGATGGGCCAAACAAAGGGCGAGTGTTTTTTAAATGTGCCCAAGGGCAGTGTGGATGCTTGGGCTTGAAGAATCCAGGTTTTATTTTATTTTGAGTGAACTGTGAACCTTTTATTTGCTTCTCAATTTCGACATGGCTTGGTTACCTGTTCTATATATTTGCTTTCGAGATCTTTCGAACATTTTGAGCTGAGGACACTTCCAATGGGCCGACCAGGAGCCTGACCCTCCTGGGCCGCCCTGTTCTTGTGGGGTGCCATCAGTGCGGAGGACTGTGCAGAAGGAGGGGCCCAACCGAGGGCGCCCGTTTATGGTCGGGGACT